ATAGATCCATGATCTGTTTGTAATCTCGGAAGAGACTACGTCGGAAGATAGGCTGATGTCATGGCGATCTCTTTCGGCTCTGAACAGACTCCAATCTCACTATCACAAACATTGATAAACACTCAACCGGACGATCGCGCATCGGACCACTTGACTAACGGCGTATGACACCTCTATGTCAACGGCGGCTGACGAGCTGTTGCACAAGTCAGCTGAAGCTTTTTCTGGTTTGCTCATGGTCCTGCAGTACTCCAATTTTACCCTGAAACTCTACAAATGCATAAATCGTCTCTCACATAGGTCTAGTGGGCTGGATAGCCAATTTTAACGTTTAACCAGATGAGTTGGATATACTTTAATTATAAATACAAGTACTGTTTGGGAAAACCCAATGAATTAGTTTTTCCTAGACCTCTGAAAACGGGTTGACTTTATCTAATGACTTTTTTGAACTCGATTGCTCAATGAATTTTACGAATAGCCCAGCTTTACACTCGTTAAAATAGTTATTTTTATAAAATATTTTCAATTCTGAAAAATCTTTTAATTATGATGCCTTTTTTTTGAAAATAGATGACTTATTGGGAATGTAATGTCGAGCAAGAAAAAGACAACTCGATCAAAAAATGAAGGCGGACCTTGGTAATCAATGCTTCCTTGCATGGAGGTTATTGCGGAAGGTGGACTTATTTATAGAGTTTCAGGGTACATAATTTGCTCTCGAGAGTAGCTCTTAAAGTCCGCCTATGCCACCCAACTGCTTCTGACGCAAGTCAATGTGTATTCTCCCAAAGTTTCTCTATTCTGCTTAATCTACTTAAATTTAAGGACCTAATTCTTGACTACTATGAATTTCCATCTCTCCTTCTCGTCCTTTCACACTATGGTATTTTCTTGGCCCAGAATAGGATTCGGGCAAGTATTCAAAAAAAGTGGATAGTGAAGCATGTGGTGAAAGTAAACAACCGATTTATGGGTCTGAAATCGCTTTCTTCATCTATATTTCCTAGATTCTCGTCTCTTCCTGTACACTTTCAACTTACTATCCTATTCCCTTCCGTATCGATACAGCATTTCTGGCTTTTCACCGAGGTACACTCTCGTGCCGAAACGTTTCCGAAGGTCCTTCTATCTTTTCGATATGTATGATGTATCTTTAACCTATTGTTCTGTAATAGCGCTTCTGCTGTTGAATAACGGCAAGCTTTGTGGTAATTTACTTAGCTCGGAACAAATTGGAGGATCAATAGCTGCCAATTAATCTGTTGTTGTATATTTTTGCACTAAGAAAAAGCGCACGGTTGGCCCCTGGAATTGTTCATTCTTTCAAAGTCCCTAGACCCATTTGGTTTAGCTACATTTTAAAGTGTAATGGAGGGAAAAGAAGAAGGCCTCTTGGGAGGTGATTCCCTACGGTTTTATCACAAAAATCAGCAGTACGCAGCGACAGAGGAAAATAGGTGTTCTTCGTTAGAGCCTGCTCCCAACTCTCTTCCGCACGGTCATGATTTGGCCTGTGTGGAATACGTGATCATCACATCGCATCCCCAGAGGTCGTTTACAATAAAATTTTCATCTCCTATAGCCTTGATTTCTACCGTAACTTACCTTTGCTGCTGTTTCCGTGCAAGGGAACGAGGCACAACTGTCTTCCTTCGAGAGGTGACTTCTCTTTGGTAGGTACTTTTGTTGGGGTTTTCTATCTCGTGCTTTCGTTCCTCTGCATTGTCCCTATGACGCATAGTGTTGCTGCAGTGTCGGACCGAAGCCAGATACCGAAGATCGAAGTTTGTGGGGTCGCGATCTCGCGTTTTGCTTCAGACCACCTGCCACATCAGAATACTCGACCAGAAAACCATTTCTACCTCTTAGTTATATTGCAAGTTCGTCCTTTCTCCTATGTTCCCCAATACGGAGTAAGGGTATTGGTAGTCAGCAATTCTCTACCGCTTTGAAATGATTAATGCCATCGGGCGCTGTATAAACATAATATATGGAGTAACTAATATAACGGCGCTGCCAATATCTTATGCTGCCCATGTGCTTCGCGTCCGACTCGGCAGCAATTAACCGATTCCCACCAAGTGTTCCTTGGTCGGTTAGCGTTGATTTTAGCGGCTCGTCGTCATCATCGTTGGCCATTCCGATCGAGATTCAAGATACTGCTAGTAATTGCCTATGCATGCGTCTTGGGCTTCGTTGCCATACGACTAAAGCTTTGCCAAGGTGTTCTAGTCCATGAAACAACGGCTCATTAGTTCCGAAACTGCCATTGACCCATGCTGCATTCTTGAATTCCTTTTTTCGTTTTTAGTGCCTTCTATTTCAATTTCTGTTTGTTTTGGCCGTTTCAAGCAGGCAGCTCTTGATGTTGTGTGGGATATTCTTACTCCGATCTACTTTCCTACGGCATAGGAAGTTCCTATTACTCCTATTGCTTTGACTGTAGAGCCTTCACTCAAAAACTGTTGACTCCCTCGTGTCATATCAGTTCTTTATACGCTCTAGTCTTGTAGTGATTATAGCTATAACTTATTATAATCTGATCTAACCTTTTATTTGTAGCGGCTATCTGGGTGAGCCCCTTCAGGTGAACCCCTTTTTCCGAAAATCACCAAACCTATATCGGTCAGGTCTAGGTCGAGTATGACCAAATATGGTACCGAAGCACCTTCTGGAATCGAGTTGTTTCTAGAACTGGGAAAAAAGAGGAAGTGAAAGTTCAGAGCGACGACTGTAGAAAAGGATGGTGGTTGTGTCAAGCGTAGGTGGGCATGGCATGTGCTAAAATCTTGGTCAGACATGGAATAGTGGCTAGTGGCGCACTATCACACACGCTTGGTATGGAATCCCGGACCCATACCCACTCGGGCCACTCAAACATTCAGTCCTTCAGAAACCTATTAATTTGTAATAGCCTTATTTGGAAGGATAAAAGCACCGACTTTTACAACGGCTGGATACCGCACTTCATTGGGACACATACGTATTCAAACGTCACTACGATTCTGAATGGAAGTCGCTTCCTAAAAGAGGAATTGAAATTGCCAAAAGCTGAACTTTTACTTTACCCTTCGTGGGCATTTCTTATAGCTTATCATATTGTTTTAGAAAAAGCAAGCTCTGATTTACTGACAAGTTTGGAAGCTTCCAAACTTCTCAAAAAATTCTACTTCTAAAACATTTGGAATTTTGAGAGTGCGTAAAATTCAATTATTTCGTGAAGAATAGTAGTTGTTATTGTCGATTGACGAAATCCTTGTGATAACTACGCTTTTCGAATGTCTGTGCTTGATGTATTCGCTGGGATGCTCTTCAGACAAAGTGGTGACTGATCCTGTTGCTCATTTGTTTGCCTCATTTTTACCTTTACAGTCACTGGAGTCAGCTTGTTAATGAAATTGCTAAGATCCTCTTATCTTCTCTCCTTCATACACTGTCGCTCCGCACATTAACGGATATGCTGCCTTCAGTAATATTATAATACCTCTCAGAAATGCTGCCTTCCTCGTGTCGTCACCATCGCTGCTAATTGTGCCATTTCATCCATTAGGGATCACTGCGATATTACATATATGTAGATATTTGCTACTGAGAATTAGCTAAGTAAAAAACAATGGACTACGATTCAATCGCCGAATTTCGTGAGGATAACCAGTATGTAATGAAGGTAAGAACAGTCACGAGATTTTACGCTGCAAAAAGGATCAGAGAAAAAGACAATCATAGTTGCTTTTCCACATATATTCGATCGTGAGTTAGGAAATTCGAAAAATTCTGTTTTTTCTGTATCTCCACTTTCTTTTTTTTTACTTATTAGTTGAAAATGGAGAGGCTCTTTGCCCTTTGATGGCATTGCAGTTAGAGCCTCTTTTTTCTTTAGCAGTGTTGGGATGCCCGACTCACATTCAGCATGAATTTATGGATTTCTGTATTTTTTGTTCTTTTTTTTTGAAAAAAAAAATGTGGCTCAAAGAGTCTTTTACAATTTCATGTCAGTTCTCATAAACTGCTTTCTTTTCCTTCCACCAACTATCTTTAACCTCTTCCCTCCTATCACGATGAAGTTTTGAGGCTCCATGTACCGTATGTAGATATTCCCAAAAAGACTTCCATCCATCCGGGAGCGATTAATTGCTACCAAGCTCGTCTGGGAGTATGAAAGCGCTGACTTGTACATCGGCTGGTCATCGAATGTTATTGTATAAGCCGCATTCGTATTCAAACGCCACTACGGTTCTGAATGGAAGTTGAATGCGGGGACGCATCCCTCAGACGGGAATGTCCGACTGATCAACGTCCCAAGACTTTATCTTTTAAATACTGGATGCAAAGAGCATGGGAGACCTACCTAACGCTGTATTCTTGTCACCGCTTTCTATCACGGACTGCCAATGTCATTATAGTGTTCCCTGTGTTCTCTATGGCTTTTAACGTTATTGGTACCCTATGTACCCCCTAGTCCCCTTCTGTATTCTTTATTAGGTTCTGAATAATCAAAACTCTGTCATAGAGACAAATTTAAGGGAAGGTTTGGCTATGTGTGAAGTTCAATTCTCGTTCTTTTGAATTCTCATCTCTGTGGTAGTACCCATGCATTTGGTACCACAGAAAAACCATATAACGAAACTAATATCGGATTTCACTTCTCTGCGTATTCACGGCTCGACCTTATAACCGATCACAGTACCTAATTATGTAGTATTTTTGCATTTACTGTAGTATTACTCTATATACGCAACGCATGCACTCCAAAATCCTCTCCTTATCCGAGGGGTATGCTAGTCCCTTGGTCCAGCCCCCCTTGTTTTTTCTATTTTTTTTTCTTCCGCTTTTTCTATTTACTGTCAGTAATTGTCTAGAGTTAGCGTANATAAATAAATAAATAAATAAATAAATAAATATTAATTATTTTGCACTCGATACTATAATTTGTTATCTCTTTTTAATATACAAGTTGAGATTATTGGCAATCAGTCCTAAATTATATTTTAAAATTAATGCTATCGGACTGGATGAATATGAATTTTGTGCAAGCATGCAAAAATCATGTAAATGGTGAGATTTTTTAGCATTTTGCTATAAATAACTCTATATTGGATGACTCATTCTCATTCTTGGATTTAAGGGTGACATTGTGTGCCTTTCCTGCATCGCATCTCATAACCGCGATGGTGTTCTCGGTTCCGAACGAGTTTGCCTTTGTACCGAAGGATTCGGTAATCGCATGTGCACCCTGGAAAATGTGTCCGATAAGGTGAGCGCTACTTTTGCTCGGTTTCTCATAGAACTTCCTTACTGCTACTCGATTCCGTCGGAATCGTTCCTTTAGAAAACTGAGACATTCACTTATATTGCCTTATACCGAATTTCAGGACATTCCACCCGATATTGCGATTTGTATGCTTTACATAGATAATGCACTATCAATGAGAGCACTGCAGGAGATGATGTCAGCGGATTCCGAGCACGTATGGACATTTTATTTCTTTCTAAACTATATATGTCCAGGCACAGTTCGTCGAGCTGAAAGGTGCTGCTATAAAAATCGCTGAAAATCATGAAAATTAAACACTTAAGGACTCAGAAGTGTGATTAGCACTCAGGGAGTGTAAATACTGTTGAGATAGACTAGTACTGCACCAGAAGTACTGTACATCAAAAAGCTACCAGTAGCTAAAAGAAATCTGAAATTTTGGAACAGATTAGGGCAATCCAGCATCAACCTGGAAATTTTCGAAGCTATAGCACACGGTTGGCTGTACATACAGTCAGGGATTGATATTTGAGCTCATCGATGCATGTTCAAGCTTTATTATAATTCCACCACAGCTATTGAGAGCATGGACGGCTGATGTCTTCTCTGGCATGTTCTGCTTTTGGGCTTTTACCTCGTTTATCGGTCTTCGAGAACGCGGTATGTATGCTCCCAGTTTTGGATTAGTGCCGAAGACTCCATCCATGTCTCTGTGACGGTGAAGGCTACCATGGCCGATTGGTATAGGTACTAACCCACAAAGCCATTGTCGTGTGCTTGAGCTAGATTTCGGCCTTCCCCTTCCTTCAAGGAGTCAGGGCTCCTCCACGCTTACTGTTTTACCTAAGTGTTAATATAGACTCTTAAGGATTTTCTTGCTATTTTCTTGGTTTTGAGACTGGCGTTTTCCCTGGCAATGACACTTTTTTTGTTTTTGTGGAGTTCACCATGTTTGTATGATTGGGCGCATTTATTTACATTTCAAACAAGTAAACAAAACGAAGCTCGTTGTGTGGTTTTAACAACGATTACCTTTTACATTTTAACTATGAGATCTGATACTAAAATCGAATCTTAGTTTGGTCTTCCCAGGCTGGTATAGGTTTCCTTAGGAAGATGTTGCGATCGCTATGTTGTCATCCAGTATCTGCTCAATTTCAGAAATCCGCCTCTGGTGCTGGTGGACATAAAACACTGCTTTATGGCCACGCCGTCCAACTGAAACATGTGCAGAGTGAAATGGTGAGTGAAAACAGCCCCAATGACTTTCTTCCCTGGAATTAATCACGAGATCAGAGGGGTTCATAAGATTATGTCGGCTTGCTAGGCCTTATTATAATAGGATTTCACCAAAATCAAAACATTGGGAATACCCCGTGCAGTTACTTTCAGCAAAATTATGAAAGTATTACATAGACAGGCATTTGCAAAGTTGTGTGCCATTGAGTTCTCTGGTTGGGGGCATTAATGAGACCACACGTTTTGCACTTTTCTGCACTTCCTTCGTCAACATTCCTAGATTTTGCTAGGGGTGGTGCGTTACAGTGGTCCCCAAAATATAAAACTTAAACTGTAATCCATTAGTGGCTTAGACCCTTCTTGCCTTCCCAAAAAGTCTACTTCGATATAAACTACACAATCTTTCAGTACTTGGCTTGTCTCTCCTCGTGTTCATCGAATGACAAGTTGGCATTCGACGTTGGTGTACAAGAAACGAACGAAGGTGAGTCGTCTACCTATGCTTGGCTTACCCATATTGGCTGCCCACTTGTGGAAGATGGACAGCGGTCTGTGGCCGAAAACCTCATGCCAAATGCAAAAAAAAAAATGGGTGAGAAT